CCAATTGGACAGTCCATCAAACCCAGATTCCACAACAGAATTACTCCCCTCGCCTTTTTGATCATTGGCGGTGCCAGGTTGAAAGTGATCAAATCCTTCTGCGAGAAATTTCCACAAGCCACGAAGCTGAAATGGAGCCCAAGTACTACGTGGACGGCAGCAGGACTCCCACTCCAAACAGCGTGCCGCATAGGTGATCTACTTGCCAGTGGAATCATTCCGTTCTTAGCTGAGACCAGCCCTGAGGCAGTAAATGTTGACTCAATCGTTAGTCTTTGTCGCAATAATCGACCATTGGTGGACATCGTGGCGCTGGTGGATGCCGTCGTTCAATGCGGCGGCCTCCAATCCCAGCAAGACCAGGAACATGTACTGAACAGTGCCTTTGAATCTTCAAACTATCAATACACTCGACAAGATATATTGAATTACCTCATTCCAAACTGCCCAAAGCTTTCAAAATTCCCGGTCTATGGGTTATCCTACCACTTTGCAAGCCACTTGGACCATTGCAGGACCATGGCGAGACTGTTGCCACAACTTGTCAAGTTGGACGTCAATATCAATTGGAAACTACATGGAGAATTCTCTTGGCAGACTTTCACAGAAGCATTGCAGGGTTCTCGTCAGTTGGAAACCCTTTCGCTGGAGCTTTGGAGCCGCAAGTGCCAAGAATCGCATTATACCCTCTCACGGCCCGTTCCCCTCTGGGTTTGGAATCCTCTGTATGCAGCCATTGGCTCCATTCCAACCCTCAAGACATTGTACCTTGCAACAGTGCTTGGCATGGCTGATTCTGTCGGGGGCATCGCAATCACAAAGACTGTGGTAAAAGTCTTGGGGCGAAACAGGTTGGAGAGTTTGACTTTGAACGGCTTTCGTGCTGACCTCGACATCATATTTGTCGCATTGAAGCAGTCTGTGCATCTTCAACATATTGATATCAAGGGTTGTGTGGAACAGAATCACCGTCAGGAGATTTTGAACCATGTAAAGGCAGAGAATGCAACATTGACTCGCATTGGAGGCGACCTGCTGGGTCCAACGAAATTGACTCAACTTGCACCCGGCGTGGACCGGATGGAACCCATTGAAGAAGTTGGCGTACAAATCAACTACTATTGTGGTCTCAACAAACTTGGCCGGGGCTTGGCTCGGGATGCGGCAACCTCTGCAGAAGTTCTCGTCGGCCTATTGAAGGAGGCAATGCGAGGAGATTGGAACGCATCATGGGCTCCAAAGAAATTGGGCAATGTCTTTGGTCTCTTGCGTGAAAACCCAAGCATCTGGTGCAAAAACTAGTTCTGTTTCTGCAACACGCAGGAGTCGAGTCTGGGATTTCTTTTCGGGTCTTCTGCAAGTTTGGAACTGTATGGCTTCGCTAGCTAGCTACCGTAACTGTCGTGCTATAGGAATACTGCTAAGATTCTCAATCGTCATTCAAGTTTCTTGGAAGAAGACTCGACTCGCCTTCCTAGCAGCTGCCAGCTATCTGAGCATTCGGGAAAAATGCACAGCTAGAAAGACAGTCTTAGGCATTGAGTGCTAGTAGACATTCAGCCAGACTATTTCGTTCTCACTAAGGGATCTGCTATGTACATGTACATCTACGGGGCGTATTGTTCGAGCTCAGCAATCCTGGCCTCCAACTCCGCCACAGCGGGTGTTTTGGGTGCCGCCATGACGGCTGCTCCGTCGATATTCACTTCATCAGTCACGCATCCTTCACTTGCAGTGGCAACATTCTGCACGTACTTGAAAAGGGTTCCCTGGGTTGTTCGCAGGGGTGGTGGAGACCATGCCTGGCGACGCTTTTCCCACTCTTCGTCAGAAATCAACAGGTCGATTGTTCGTGCCTCTGTTCGTGCGTCAATTCGGATTGGATCTCCATTTTGAACCAACGCGATGGGTCCACCAACCTACAAAATCAAACGAAGAGTAGCAACATGGTGAGTGACTTTTTGTAATTTTCTCGGAACGCCATTCTTCCACAACATCAACCAACCACTCACCTGTGCCTCTGGAGTAATGTGACCAATGCAGAACCCATGGCTACCACCGCTGAAACGACCATCCGTCAGCAACGCAACCTTATCTCCAAGACCGGCGCCCACAATGGCACTTGTGGGAGTAAGCATTTCTGGAAGACCGGGTCCTCCCTTCGGTCCCTCGTAGCGGATGATAACTACATCACCTGCCTGGATCTCCTTTTCTTCAATACCTTTCCTCATCATTTCTTGTTCATTGTCGTACACACGTGCGGTTCCCTTTCAAAAACGGAAAAATCTATCAGCAAGGCTGCACCACGAACATGACGTGCGTTCTCACAGTAGGCAGCCTGTTATGGTGACTTACCGTGAAGGTCTCCCCCTCCTTTCCCGTAATCTTGGCCACACCGCCACCGGGGCACAAGTTTCCATACATGATCTGCAAGTGTCCTGTGGGCTTGATTGGGTCGGACAAGGGACGGATAATCTCTTGTCCAGGAGTCAATCCTGGGTGGTTCAAGTCCTGAAGATTTTCATTGTGGGTCTTTCCAGTCACTGTCATTTGATCTCCGTCAAACATGTCATTGTCAATCAAGAATTTGATCATTCCCGGTGTTCCGCCAATGTTCTGAACATCTTCCATGACAAACTTTCCAGATGGCTTGAGATCAGCCAAGAATGGGGTCTAATAATTTGGAACAAGGAAGTCAAATGGACGATTGAAATAAATGGATTGTCGAGAGTTTGGGAAAGCAGCCATTGAAGGAGCAGAATTGAATCAGCAACATGGAAAACAGTAAGTAGATGCAACCAGTGCCACTCCTTCATCACCACAAAGCTCATTATTGAAATATACGTACCACATCAGAGATTCGCTGGAAGTCATCCAAATTAATGGCCACATTGGGATCTTGACAAGATCGACTCATGGCGATCAAGTGCAACACGGCATTGGTGGATCCTCCCGTCATCATGACCATTCGAATAGCATTCTCAAAGGCTGCCTTGGTCATGATATCCCTTGGTTTGAGATCCATCTCGAGCAACTTGAGCATGGCCTTTCCCGAGTCGACGCATTCATCAATCTTTTCCTTTGAATCAGCAGGAGACGAGGAAGAATAGGGCAAAGACATGCCCAGAGCTTCAATCGCCGTGGCCATGGTATTGGCCGTGTACATGCCTCCACAGGCTCCTTGACCAGGACAGGAATGTTGAATAATTTCCTTTCGTTCCTCTTCGGAAATTTTGTCGTAGATGTATTCTCCATAGGATTGAAAGGCACTGACGATATCCAAGGGTTCATTGTTGGAGGGTTGTCGTCCCGCACGAATGGTTCCACCGTAAATCATGATTCCAGGTCGATTCAAGCGTCCCATGGCCATGATGCACCCGGGCATGTTTTTGTCGCATCCGGGAAGGGCGATCAATCCATCGTACCATTGACCTCCCATGGTGGTTTCCATACTATCGGCAATAAGATCACGACTTTGCAGAGAATATCTCATTCCACTGGTTCCCATGCTCATTCCATCCGAGACACCGACGGTGTTGAATCGGTATCCTACACAATCTTGCGCTTGGACTCCCTTCTTGACGTGCTCGGACAATTCCAACAAGTGCATATTGCAAGGATTTCCTTCGTACCAAACCGAACAGATACCCACCTGAGGTTTGCTCATATCTTCTTCTGTGAGGCCAGTGGCGTACATCATGGCCTGGGAGGCTCCTTGGGATTTGGGCTGGGTCAAGTGGCTGTCGGAAGATAGATAATGCAATTGAAAAAGTGAGAAAGGAGGAAAGATACCCCACAAAATACAAGGGAAAGTGGTGGGGTCATTGACATTCCAATTCTAGCTGGAGCTGTATTCTAGATTTCTTCTTCCTGAACTTACCGACTCCACCGGTTGAGAATGACACCGTCTTCATCATCGGAAGCCATGGCCAAGGGTTGCATCTTCTTGGCTGCTTGGCCAGCAATGGGTGCAAACCCATGGGCTGAAGAAAGGAGGGACAAAAGTCCCAAGATTCCAGCCGAGACCTTCATGTTGATTACAATTCGGGCTGAGTGATGAAACAAACTATCTTATTTACTTGTAGCAGATCCCTCTACCTCTGTGATGAAGAACAAAATGATGGTTAGAAAATCTCGAAAGATCTTCCTGCCGTTGATGTCAACCCTTGTGTGATGGGGAAGACAGAGTTGCATCCGCGCATGTTTCGCGCAGGTTTGATGTGGTAACCATGGCTCTAACCTTGAAGATAGCGCTAGGGTCACACGACTCGAATCTATAATCAGGAATTCCAAAGAAAGATACGTACTGTAGACTACCGGTACAGTACATGGATACCACGTGTAGATTAACAAACATACGAACAAACCACGCCGTGCTGATGATGTTGTTGTTGATGATGTGGGGTATCTGACCTAACAAAGTCCCACCATAGCTTGCAAGTAAAAGAAAACTGTACCATGAACAAGTTTGCGCTTCTCCTCCTGAAAGCTCTTCAAGTTTCTATCCTGGCGCTGGTAACCTGGGGCTTGCTTCCAGTGGTCTGGTTGGGAAGCCAGCTCTATGGACGTCCACCCAACGTGCTGCACATTCGTACCCAAGCAAGTCGATACCTCCATTACACGTGGACGGCAGATCTGGAGAATGATCCTCCTTATCCAACTGGCGCCAGAATATGGTTGACTTTGTGCATCGTGGAGAAATGCTTCATGTCACGCTTGGTGGGTTTGGCATGGCTGTTGGATCAAGTGCTGTACGGAAAGCAGCTGCAACAAATGGACGTCCACAATCCATTCTTTGTCATTTCCGGGGGTCGATCGGGCAGTACCCAATTGACACGATATTTGGAACAAGATGCAGATAGCTTTGTGGCTCCCAGTATCCTCATGTGTATGTTCCCCTATCTGTGGCTCTGGCGACTGGTCCCCAAGACGATTGGGCGCTTTGTGACACCCGATCAAGTGCGAGAATTCCTCTGTCAAATGGTCCCCAAAGAAAGCTTGGAACGACATGAAATGGATCCATTCCAAGCCGACACGTTTGATGGGGCCTTTTTGAGCCATCATTTGAATGCCATGTCCCTCAATCTGGGAACAACAGTTGGCACCATGGAGTTTAACCTGGCAGAGTTTGCCCCTCACAATCGATCCTTGGTCGAACAGGACTATGTCGCATTCATTGATGGCATTGCACGAAAAACATTGTTGCATCAATGGCACCGGTAGGTAGGGATCATAACAAGCTAGAATGTCTTAGGCTGTTGAGTGGTTGATGTTCGTTCAATTAATTAAGTTTGAAGGAGCGACTTCGGTGCTAATGATCCAGTCCGACATTTGGGCAAGCACTGTAGCCAATGTTTGTAAAGCACCCATGAAGCCCATCGGACTCTTTCCCCAACACAAACATATTACCCATGCATCATACCCATGCTGACAAATGAATAACCTCAAGACACATTGGATCACCCCATCTAGCTTCCTCACAATTCCAATTATCAAATTTCCGATTCGATTCCTCACAATTTCGCATTTTGCCGATTCCTCAAAAGAAAAAAATCAATTTCCAATTACTTATAATTTCAATTTTTGACGATTCATCACAATTCCAATTCTAATTTTCATTTTTGATTTCTCACAATTCCAATTTTCATTTTCTGACTCCTAACAATTTCAATTTTTGCGGATTCCTCACAATACCATTTTTCAGTTTCGGTTTCTCACAATTCCATTTTTTAAATTTCTATTTATCACAATTTTTAACTTCGATTTCTCACAATTCATATTTATAATTTCGATTTCTCACAATTCCATTTTTTTAAGATTCCTCACAATTCCATTTGTTTCCGATTCCTCACAATTTTAGTTTTTGCCGATTCCTCACAATTTCAACTTTCAATTTCTCACAATTCTATTCTTCCCGATTTCTCACAATTCCTTTTTTGCCGATTCCTCACAATTCAAATTTTGCTGATTCCTCACAATTTCAATTTTCGATTTTCAATTTCTCACAATTCCATTTTACGGATTTCTCACAATTCCATTTTTGCGGATTCCTCACAATTCCATTTTTGTGGATTTCTCAAAATTTGTTTTTGATTTTTGATTCCTCACAATTCAAATTGTTTTGATTCCTCACAATTCCATTTTTGAGGGTTTCTCACAATTCCATTTTTGAATTTCCGATTCCTCACAATTCAAACTATTTCGATTCCTCACATTTCAAATTTGCGATTTCTGATTCTCATTCCTCACAATTCCAATTTTGTTCAAACGTCACCTGGGAGCCTGCTGGACCTGGAGTCTGTACCGTACAGTCGTTGATGCAGGGTGTTGTGGTGGCGAGTATTTCCCTTGAAGCATACAATCTAAGTAGTGTTGCCCAACTGAACTGCTTTGGAGTCAGTCATCCAAATCTTGGTTTACCAAACCATTGGACTCTAGCGCTTCTTGAATGTCTTGCAATGAACAGTTTCCTCTTCTTTACTATTTGGCTGATGGGTTCATCGTCCTTTTTGCAAGAACTCCTTCCAAAGGTTAGCGACTTCTATGCATAGCTACTCGAGTAACATACATGGTCGTTCTACCCTTGTCTCATCAGGTCATCAGGAGCAGGCCAAGTCAGGTGGAATCTACATGTTTTGTGTTCACTTCTGCACATTCCAGCCTTGCTGGATACATTTGAGTCACTGGCAACCAATCACGGAAGGAAATTCAAACCATTCGTCCCTTCAGTTTGGCGCGAACCTCTCTCACTTTTTGGAAGGCAAAGCGTGTGGACGACTTTCTTTCGTATCAACCAAACAAACAGAGGCAAGATGATGGAAGCGGAGCACCAACAACAGGCGCAAGACGATCAGATGCAAGAGGAGGATCAGCAGGTGAGTGCGTTTGAGCCTTGAGAAGCATGGCATCATGGGTGGAGTGTTGCGTCTGGAAGAGAGAGATTTGAATTCTACGGTAAATCCAGTAGGAAGTCCTACGTCAATGACTCATCGTGTCCTTCTTCTGTTCTCTCTCTCTCTTCTGCTCACAACAACAACTTCTTGATCGCAACAATGGCAACAAACAATCACCCCCTTAACGCGCACGCTTGCTTGTCTATCAACGCCAAATCACCACTCCACTATCGAACAATACAATCACACAAACAACGAAATGACAATGACCACAGCAAATCGCTGTCTCCTACTCCAACGTGGAGATTTTGCAAGAACACGGGATCGCCGCCAATGACATTCAGAAACTCACATCGGCCGGATACAACACGATCGAGTCGATCGCTCATGCCACTTCTCGCAAACTGGCCGAAGTCAAGGGCATTTCCGAAGCCAAAGTGGCCAAATTGAAGGAACTCGTCAAGACCATGGTCCCCATGGATTTCAAAACGGCCGCCGATGCCTTGGAAGATCGAAAGTCCATTGTCACATTGACCACTGGATCGGTTGAATTGGACAAACTCCTCGAAGGGGGCATTGAAACGGGGTCCATTACCGAAGTCTTTGGAGAATTCCGGACCGGAAAGACGCAGCTCTGTCACACGCTCTGTATCACTTGTCAAATGGGAGTCAATGAAGGTGGAGCCGAAGGAAAGGCCATTTATCTAGGTACGTCTGTACAATCACAAACAAACACAAATGACAAGAGGACAATTCACTTTTTCTGGGCTGTTGTTCTCACCCATATTGATTGATTCCATCTTTCTCTTTTTAAATTGACACCACAGACACGGAAGGATCCTTCCGTCCCGCTCGTCTCCAAGCCATTGCCGAGCGCTTTGGTTTAGATCCCAACTTGGCATTGGAAAATGTCGCCTACGCTAGAGCACAAAACTCGGAGCATCAAATGGAACTCCTCAAAATGGCCGCCGCCATCATGTCCCAGGACCGCTACGCTCTCTTGGTGGTCGATTCCGCCACGGCCTTGTTCCGAACCGATTACACGGGACGTGGAGAACTCTCCGAGCGACAAATGCAAATGGGACAATTCCTGCGACAGCTCACCCGGTTGGCGGAGGAATTTGGTGTCGCCGTATTCATCACCAATCAGGTCGTTGCCAATCCAGACGGGATGAGCTTTGCCAAGGACAGTACCAAGCCCATTGGAGGCAATATTATTGCGCATGCATCCACCACGCGGTTGCGTCTTCGCAAGGGACGAGGAGAGAATCGTATTTGTACCGTCTACGACAGTCCCACTCTGCCCGAAGCGGATGCGCAGTTTGCGATTGGTGAGTACTTTGTTACGTTGTACGTGTGATCTTGTGAATGCTGCATTTTTTGGGTCTGATTGTTTCTTGCTTGATGCTCCTATCTTGAAACAGGCCCCCAGGGAGTCTGTGATCCTACTGAATAGGTTCCTGGGACACTTGCAATGTGGTACACTTGCAATGCACCGGCGTTCTCTCGGAGGCCACGACTGCGTATACAGTCTTTTGGTTTGGCGGATCCTTTGATTGGATTGACTCGATTCAAGGATCCAATCCTCTGGCTGAAAACGCAAAACAACAATATTCAACAACGGAAAGCCCGTACTGTCGGTAGCATCTTTCTTTTACACTACTCATATTCAAAAACAACTCAATTGGTTTGTTCCACTACTGACCTTTGGAACAAACAAAGGTTTGTATTCTCTACAACAGGACTTCTCCTAATGGTGCTACTTTAGTCACACCTAAAACTCCTCAACCTGTACTAGCTAGTATAGTGACTAAGTCGTAGCGACGCACACATACAGATACAAAAGACGACTGATTGTTGATAGCCAAATTCATTCATGTTGTTTCATAGTCTATCTCTAGCCTTAGAGTTCCACAATCTATCACACGGGAGAAACACAGAGAACACTCAGCCCTGCATCCAGCAAATAATACATGTAAACAAAGCGATAGCGAGCCTTCTTGATCAGAACAAAAATAAAAGGCACGACACAAAGGAAGCCACCATGGATAGCCCGTATATTGTTTGCCTTGCTACCTGTGAGTCTTTCTTCGCTTGGTCTTTTCCGAGCTAGTAGGGGATCCATTGCTGTTGGTTGCTGGTTGTTTCTTCGTCTTTCGAGTAGGACGAATGCCATTTTTGACTTTGTCCTTTTCTTTCAGGCCGGTCCATCCTCCAGTTCCAATCTCATCCGGTTTCAATGGTCTCAATCGGACGAATCGGATCTGATCAAAGTCTTCCAAGCAATCTAGAACCTCCAATAAATGCTCCTTTGGGACAACTTCTTCGCTTCCAAGAACAGCCCCCATCACAAAGGTGCAGTAGGAATCCTCTTGTCGTGGATCTTTCTCAAAGACATGCTGGTAAGTCTTATCCGGGATGGCATTGGTTCCCCTCCACAGGGAGAGTTTTTTCATCTCGTTCTTTCTCATGAAAGAAATGGAAAAAAAATCTTTTAGTTTCTCAAAGGCATCCACAAGTTGTTGACAGACATGCAGGGAAAAGGGAAGAAAAATACCACACGGAAGGTCGGGGGTATCTTCTAATTCCAGCAAGTCCCGTTCCACAAAGGCCGGCAACACAGTGTCAAACAGCTGTGGCCTCCAACTCTTTCGATCCCACCCTGACAAAAGCCAATTGTAATCCATAATGACTTGTTGAAATCGAAGGGATGGAGCTCGTTGAATGTGTTCCAGTTCCCCATTGGTTTCCCCACAATTCGCCTTGTGTTGCTCCAATAACGTGTCTAGAAATTTGGTCTTGTTGAAATTCCCCCGTACATGGTAGTAGGGATCAAAGTCGACTCCATACTGAAGCGACATGGCAAAACAATCCACATTGCAAATGATCTCGGTCAAGCAGAGTCGGATCAAATCCCGCCCAAAGGAAGACTCAAAACCTCCTTGAAACGTCTTGCCAATACTCGTGCGAGAGGCAATGTCTGCCACCGTCTGTTCGATGCTGTTGGATTGCCGGACATAGGCGGCTCGGGAGGCTCCTAGCACTAACACCTTTTTGCGACGGGAAAGGCGCATCGTCCGTCCTTCACAAAAAATGGAACCGCTTTCTCCCTTTTCCAAATGATGATGATGGATGGCACTTGGCCGTTGGATGTCTCATTGCGAAGATCCTGGTGAGACAACGGCGGATCGAGGCCAGTCGGTTTGACGTAACTCTATACCTGCAAAGCTGTCAAGCACCTGATGGCGAGTGTTGACCTTGTCGTGCACAAACTTTAAAACTGCAGTGTCTCTCAATTGAAGCAACTACCACATGGCGGGTTTAACATCTCAGAGTTGGCTCGAACGTTGGGCCAATACTATCAGAAGTCGGTTGAACAGTAGGTTAACTATTGTCTTGCAGTTGGCTTGAATAATAGTTTACTGGATCAACTATAGCCTCTCATTCCACAGGCTTGCACCAGTGATTTTGCTGCCTATTTGGCAGCCATGAATCTCACCACTTTTAGTGATGGATCCACTATGCTCCTATTCCACAGAACAGCACATCATCATCAATATTCAATGCTATTGTGCATGTGAATCAACAACTATGAACTACGCCCCCTCTCAATTGCCCTCGTTTATTTTAAAATTCAGCCACTGATTTATATCTCCATTGATCCCACAAATCCAAGCCCATCAGCCCTTCTGTCTGTCCCCAGTTTGTCACTCCTGATCCCATTGTTCGCCCATCTCAAGCCCTCTGTGGGTTGGAACCAGCCCACTCCAACGTGGACGCCAATGCGTCGAGTGCTGTTAAATCCAAACGGCACTTGAAGGCAATGCTTCCCACTCCTCACAATTAATTCGCAACGGCACCACTGCACATCAATTGTCGTCCATGGTCCTGCTACCGTACTCCTGACAACAAATAGCTCAACAAATCAACTCTAAGTTCATAGCTGCTCCGATTGAATACCCAACAATGCAGACGGAGAACGACCAGCAGTCTGACATCACTGATGTTGACTTGGATGCTGTGACATGCGGCGAGTATGGTGTTGATGCCATCACACTGAACGGACGTCACAGCCAGTTGCAGAATCACAATGACACCTTGTCGAGATCTCTAGAAAAAGGCCATGAGACCCTGGCAACTTACTTCGCTGTGAGTCCTTGCTTCAACATCCTGAAACATGGTCGTAGCAAGCGATACAGTCAATTGGAAGTGGCTAATTCAGCATCAGATGCGGTCAATGCCCTGCTAGTGCTTGAAGAATTTCCATCTTTGGCCGCAAAAACATTCTCGGGTTATCACGACGAGCACCCCGTGTACAATTTTGGGTACCTTCCGGATCTCCCTGAGCTTTTCCCGCTTGCATTCTTTGTCTTCAATAACTTTGAGGCAAACATACTGGACCGCATCTTCAAACTCTATCCAGAAGCAATCAATCAACCCTGCGGAAAATGGTCAAGTCTACTGGAATATGCCTGCTCAGACTCCCAGCACATGCGCCTCCCGACAGTCAAATGGATAGCATCCAATACTGCACAAAACTGTGATACTGCAAAGCCTATCCTTGCCTTTTTCAGTGGCGGGCGCCTTGAGGAGATGTCCCACGATGCGGAACAAAATATTCTTGAAATCTTGCTCTCCAAAAGTCCAAGGTTCCGAATCTGGAATAAGGATTCTGAAGTCAAAAAACTGGTGGACACGTGTGTTTCCCTGACGTGTGCTTCCCTGGGATTTGAGAGCGAACTTGTCCTTCAGCTGGTTGAAAAACTTCCATTTGAGTACAGAGTATTGAACCTCACACGGAGCTTCATCTATTTCAATAGCGACACCATCGATCTGGTTGAGCTGATGTTACCCAAGCTTTCAGAAATTCAGTTCTTCCACGACGATTGCGTTGAAGACGACGAATTCTACTTTGACTTGGACTTCTTCTATGACGACCATGCAGTTGCATCTTGGGTCCGTGTCGTGGGGCTGTTGGCCAAGGCCATGAATCTACGGAAGCTATCCCTGTCTATCCCAACAGAAATCGTGTGCCATAGCCAAGATGCCATTGACGCGGTGAAAAACCTTCTTCATCAGCACCTTCAGTTTTCAGCTACAAATGTTCATCTACGGTTGATTAATTGTTGCCCTGGGGACACAGGGTGGTTGTTTGAAGATGAAGTTGACGGCGAAGACAGTGACAATGATTCATACTGCGACGATCGAGACACTTTTGGGAAAGCCAGGGACACGGTCAGGGACATGCTCAGAGCCAAGGCCATTGACCATCCAATGGAGTTTGTGAATAACCAGTGCATCAAACTCCTTTTGGATTCTTTTCGAACAGGTCAGGGCACTACCAACAAGCGCTCCATGGTTGAAGAAATTGTCCTTCATGACTTGTACAATGTGCACTTGGAGTACCTGGCAAAACTCGGTACTCATACCAAGTCATTGAAACTTGCTCCTACAACAGTGAAGTCACTGACAGCCAATTCTCATTCGCTTTGCAAGGTTTGGAAGCAACCCTGCCCCAACCCACGTTCCTGTTGTGGCTCTCAAGGCTTGAAAGACCTTGCTTTGCTGCGCTGCTACAACCAAAGCATTGTCGTAAAGATGGCAACCTTTGTCACTAAGCCTCTTCATGGGCAAAGATTGGTGAAGCTCAGGCTTGAAGGACAAAAGTCTTTGATCCGTCCTCGAAAAGGAGAGCTTCGATACGATGTAACGGAAGATTTGGTTTCCACCTTGGGCTGTGTCACTCTCGAGCAGCTCCAGTTCTCTTCCGCCGTTGGCCACAAACTGCAACTTCCTTTGTTTGCCGCAGCCGTCAAAATGTGCCGTCACCTTAAACGACTTGAGCTGGTTGGACTGGATTTCCGTCGCTGTGACCAGCGATCTGTGGTTGAATGGTTCCTGGAGATGATTGAAGGAAGCGTGAACAAGGTGCTGGAGTTCCTCTTGCTCGAGAGTGAACAGAGATACCACTTCATCAACCGTGATGCTGAGAGCCTCTTTACCGGTGCTCCATATTCAGATTACATTGGAGGAGAATACAAAGTGAAGATTCAATACTTGCTGTGGCTGGCACGCTTTGGATGGCGGAAAATGTCTAGTGATGACACAAAGGCCCAAGAACTCATTGAGGTTCTTTGGAACGTGAACTCTGTTTCCTTTTCGGATCTTGCTACCCAGGTCGATCCACGATACCCAAGAAGCGAGCAACAAGCAGAAAAGGACAAGAATGGGGTTCTCTATGGCCTTCTGCGAGAGAAACCCTCTCTGTGGTGCTCCCCTTCTGTTCATACACAGCCCTCCCCCATTCGAGGAGGCAACAAGCGAAAGTTTGGACAACTCTGAAAGCATTGGCTACCGGTATGGTCGCATGATACCTCGTATTGTTCTGAGCATCCAAATCCTGGTAGTCGGCTAACTTTAGGCACTAATACACTCCATCTTGCCAGCTAGAGAATCCTAGTTGAGCCCGTCCTTGCCTCGTTGCTGACTAGACTACTGCAGATGTTGAGCTGCTCGAGGAGTCTTGTGATACTGGTAGGTACAGGTATCGCCAGTCTGGCTAGCTGTATGGTACCCGTGCCAGTACATGTAGCACTGCAATCTGGCAGCTCTGCTGGCAGCTAAAGATGAAAGATCCAAAGATCCATCTTTTCCGGGCTCCCGTGCTGCGTGCATGCTCAGAAGACAAAAGAGGAGGCAAACATCTTGATAACAAGCAAGCACCGACCAGAGCCCGAGCGACGATAACCATAGTGTCTTGATGAGAAGTTGTCGCAACCGTCGTAATCAGTATTGTTCCCGGTTCTATTCAATTCGGTTCTCTATTCTCGTTTCTTTGATCTTCTTCTGGGTCCTCGTGGTGGCACTATCCTCCTCGGACAACAGCAGCTCTCCTAGCAACCATCAAGGCAAACCGTGGATCATGGCGTCGGCGGCGGCAGCGTTGGCGGGATCCACTCTGGCCCGCAACAAGGCCGCATGTTCGGTCATTCCTCGGATTGGACTGGGTACTCTCATGATCCAACCGGACGTGGTACCGGATGCTATTGCATCGGCCATTGCCGCGGGTTATCGACGGATTGATTGTGCTCCCGTCTACTTTAATGAAGACAAGGTGGGAGATGCCATTCAAACAGCCCTGAAGAATGGCAGTGCCAAACGACAAGATTTGTTCCTCGTGTCCAAGCTCCCCAGCTGCTTTCATCGCAAGGAACATGTGGAAATGGCATTGAAAAAGACACTGCTGGACCTGCGAGTGGATTATTTGGACCTATACTTGATTCACTGGCCACAAGCGTTTACACCCGTACTGCCCATTCCCATGGACAAGCGAGGTTGGGAAACGGAAGATATTGACGATTCCGGAGATGGAAAGAATATTGATACCACGGTTTCCATTCACGAGACTTGGGCCGCCATGGAAGAATTGGTCGACAAGGGAATGGTCAAATCAATTGGGGTTTCCAATTTTCCCGTCTCGCTATTGCACGAGTTAATGACACGGGCCAAAATACCTCCCATGGTCAATCAAGTGGAAGCACATCCCTATCTACAACAAACCAAATTGCTCAAGTATTGTCAAGCACGGGGAGTGCACTTTCAAGCCTACTCGCCTCTGGGTACGGCCGATTACAAGGAAGACCACGAACCCGTCATTTTGAACGATACTGTCTTGAAAACGATTGCCGAAAAGCACAACGTGAGCGTTGCTCAGATTTGTCTAGCCTGGGCGATTCAACGAGGCACCAGCGTGGTAGTCAAAAGCTCGTCGAAGGCGCACCAAGAGGAGAACTTGAAAGTCTTCCGACAGCAAGGAGAGGAGGAAGAACTGGCAGTGACTCTTTCCGACGAGGAAATGGAGCAGATTGCAGGTCTGGAGCGGGGATATCGATACTTTCGACCCGAAGAGTGGTGGCCTCAGTTGGAAATGGCCGTGTTTGATTAGCGTTGGATACCACAATCAATCAACGAATAGGAGAAAACCTATAGTGCAGTGCTATCAATCTGCTTACTGGGTAGCTGCTGGCATGTTCAATTTGACCAAAACGACACAACCAGGAGGTGACATAAGACGGTGCCGGGCCAGACCGGGGCAACGTGTGAAAACTTGAACAATCAATTTGTTTAGACGAGTACAGTCGTACACACGGTTGAGGTGCAGGGCGAAAGGAGGAGGAGGAGGAGGGAAATCTCCATTGTTTTCAATACGGTAGAGCACTAGCGGTACCAGTACCGGTACGAATGGGATGGATGGACTTCATCGCACCGGCAGCCAGGAATATTAGCACGATCAGTCTTCGGATATGATAGATGCGAAGCGCTGTAGGACACAGACTACTCCAGCTTGAGGCGGCTGGAAGGGGGTGGGAAGGGGTAGCTGAATGAGGGTAGTAGGTGGAGAAAGTGAAAAGTTATTATGAGAGAGGGACTGGGCAGAGAGCTAGGAGATTCAAGATTTCAAGTTGCGTTCTCATCGTGGACAGCGGAGGTATGGGACAGACAAACGTAACTTCTGCGAGAGCGATTATCCACGTCTCACAGGTTTCCCATTTTCCGATGACACCCACCGCTTCGCCCTTCGCATCCATGGCATCTATGGGCGCCGTGCTGCTCCCACAATGTTGCTGGCACTCTCACAACAATAACAACAACAATCCATCGTCTTCTTGATCTTTCAAATTTGGCTGCAACAGCGGAGAGATGAAGTTCCTCTCCTTCTTTCTCCTTCCCGTTTTAGCGTCCGCGAGTCCACGCAATCTGAGAGCAAAGATTGTAAATGGTGATCAGGTTGCCCAAGCGGAGCCCTTCTTTGGCTTCTTTGAGGTGGGGTGTGGCGTCAGCATCGTTGCTCCCGACATGTTGTTGACGGCTGCCCAGTAAGTTCCGCCACTTGTGATACCGCTTGTCTGATCACTTCCGCTTTCGATGTGAATTGTTTGTCTTGCTCAATTCGATGCTCCAACGATACGTTGACTTCCAAAGTTGCGAGAACTGGGATATCCTGCGGCGACGTGTCTGGCTGGGTTCTACAGAACTTTACAATGGGACTGTGCGTACTGTGTTGGACCGCATACCACATCCTGATTATCGAGAAGACAGCACGGGAGAGTATGATATCATGCTCATGAAGGTCAACGCCTCCATGTTTTTCGAAGCCGATGGTGTGACCCCTACGGCCTTGGAGAAAATTAACTTGAATGACAATGACCTGATTCCAACTGCCGCTGAACAACTCCGTGTCATCGGTCATGGGCGGACAAGCTTCGCCGGTTATAGCCTGTCAGATAATCTCTTGGAGTTTCTTTGTATGCCTATGATGACGATGTATGCATCGAGATATACAACCAGACGGCAGACACGGACACATCCGAGCTCGAGGTAGTGCCGGAATCGATGGTAAGACACCGGACTATTGATCTTGCGTCAACGTGTGTTGTGTTTCGCCCCTACATGATTTTCATCCCATTCCATAGTTTTGTGCAGGTCAAGGACCTCAGGGTTTTGGCGGTAGGTAGCTTTGAGAGTGTACTGTACACAGCCAGCAGGCAACCACAGCTTCATCATCTCACGTCTGGGGACAATCTGGTATCGGACAGGAAGTTGCAATGGTGATTCGGGTGGACCGGTAATTGATCCTGTTACTGGCGTGCAAGTTGGCATTGTGAGCTGGGGCCATGCCTGTAGCCGTTATGGCTACCCAAGTGTTTTTGGACGTGTTAGTTCTGCCTATGATTGGATCAATGATGCTATTTGCCAGAACCCATGTTTCCCAGACCCATCTCTTTGTGGCGATACTGTCAGCTTTCATCCTTGTGGTGGTGCTGGTGTGTTGTCAAATGGAACCATTGGTCTCAACTTGACCGTTGTTTCTGACTCGTTTCCTGGCGAAATTGCCTTTGCTCTGGAGCATGTTGAGTATGGCTTGGAAGTCTACTTTCAGCCTTATGACACATACTCATATGCAGATGTTGCTGGCCTGGGCTATGGTGAAGACTTCATTATACAGCACAGCTTTGAAAACCTGCCCAATGGAACATATCACCTAACATTGGGTGATGCTGACTATGATGGTATTTGCTATGGTTATTCCACCTGTCTTGATCAAGAAAATGTCATCTTGAGCTTCCTTGACTCCAAAGAAAGCATCTGGACTCACTCAGGCGACTATTACAGGTGAGCGTAAGGTTTGGGGGGAAAGCTCCCGAGAACGCGATCCTGATTTGCGGCTTGCCGCTCACAAATCCCTACTTCCTGATCTTTCAGCGGCACTGATATTTACATCAGATTCGACAGTGACGGTAGTGTTGTGTTTGTCTCGGAATATCCTGAGGGAGTCGCACCGCCCACACCAGCCCCAACTGAAACCCCTATCATTTCGTACGACTATCCTGGGGATTTCCCGGATGGCCCTTCTGAAGTGATTGTCAATGTTAGATACGATTCATGAATATCAGAAACCAGTTGGTACTTCCAACAATATCGGCAGGAGGAAGGCACTTCAGATGTTGACAGCGTTCTTCTTGATGATGAATGGGTCACCGTTTAGGAAGGACCTAGCGGATTGGAGTGGGGTTCAAATCTCTACAGCTACAACCAAAGCAACTTGAGGCCTGAAACCCTCTACAGGTTCTTGTTCTTCGATTCGTTGGGGTAAGCAAGAGCTATTTTGGATGTATTGAAGGTGACGAAATCTGTCCCTCACGTGATGATTTCTTTTGGCCAGTGATGGCATCTTCACTTGGGGTGTCTCGATCACCAACTCATCTGCATCTGTTGACTATACAGACGGGACGGTTCTGTGGACTCTTCCCAATAGTTTCAGAACTTTCTCTGAAGTGTACGTCTGGATCGATGCCCAAGGCAACTCAGAGGTCATTGACTTTGTGAAAGTTCCCGCGGCCCGTTTTTATCTTGGGGCTGCATGTTCCCGGATAAGCTTAACAACTGAACTCGGAACTTCCATTTGTGAGGATGCTTGCAGCAGAGGTGACTGCTGCTGGAACACAACTTCTGGGACTCTTTGCACTTCCTACCAGTCGGAGTGTGGAAACTATGCCAAATGCTCCAATCTTCTCGTCCTTGGTGACGATGCCATCACGACCGATGACGTGTCGGAAGCTTGCAGGAATCACGCCGCTCAAGTCTCCCAGTCTATTTCGGAGACTCTTTGTGATATCATTTGCGAATCAGGAGAATGTTGCTTTGATGACGAAGTTGAATGCGACGCGGATGTGGACTGCGACGTTTTTGAGCCATGTTCCGTCGTATTCGAAGAAGAGGACTTGGCTGTTGAGGCTGTTGAGAGGAAGCCGCGTCGCCCTCCTTACTAAACTGGATATCAAACATCGGGCCAGCCCAGTCATGTCTGTGTGGGTTGGAGTTTGCGTTATCTATGAACGCTCCCTTTGAAACGATTGCTGTGCCAAGGAGTCGGCACTGGATTCGCCAGTCACATTGTAGATTGCGCATAGCTGTCCATAAATATCTACCAGATGGTTAGGAATTTTCAAGACCACCTAGCCAGCGTCCAACAGCACTTGATGGAGCAAGCTAGCAACCAGCTACCGGTATAATAGCTACAACGAACTCGATTCTGTACACGACATCCCGCACCTGCCATGAACCGTGGTGCTCGCATCAGGGAGGCCGATGCTACGGTACCGGTACTGTAGGATGATGCAACGGCGATCTTTCTTTGTCGTGAGTCACGGATACTTTGAGTCCCCAATCCAAGCGTATCTTTGCCCTTCTCTCTTCGCTCTCATTATCTTTCGTCCAGGGTTTTCTGAACGAGAGCACCATGGATCAACTTGCCAAGGGTGACTATGTCATCATCAATGGCCTCCAGAGTGATGCAGGGAAGAAACTGAATGGAGGAAAGGGGATCATTCTCAACAAGCCCACGCTTACAGAAGACGGTGTCCAACGGTATCCGGTTCTTTTCTACGCTACCAAGACTGCCAGTGGCGGCGACGACTTGGTGGCATTGGATCCTACCGCCAACAAAAAGATCAAGGCCGAAAATCTCAGTCCAGATCCACAAGATCCCACAGAGAACACCCTCCTGCATGAAGTGGCCCATCGGGAAACGGCCAAGCTACAAGCACAAGGGGTAGAGGCCATGCAAAAGGGGATCTTCTGGCTCGAGGTGTACCACGGAGCTTGGCCCGATAACCTTGGATTGGCCTGTAACTATGCCAGTACCTTGAGAAGTCTAGACAAATCTGCAGAAGCATTCCATGTGATCAAGGTGAGTTGAGTCGAGTCGAAACTCTTGAATTCTAAATGTTGTTTTGGTTTTGCTGCTGACAATTGACTCTCTCGTCCTGCTACTGCCTGCCAAGGACTACATATTGGGGAATTATCTCTCTCCTTCTGATCCTCGATATCCACATTTTTGCTTTGATTTCAGCATTCTGCGCTCCAAGGCTGGGCAGCAACTCAGTGCTGCATTGGATTATGCTCTACAGATTCCTATGGACACACCTCAGCACACAGAAATGGTCATGGATGCTCTTCTCGAACTCGCCCTTACATGCAACCGCATTCTCCAGGAAAATCCCAATGAGGATAACTCCCAAGTTGCTGGTATTCATGTGCAAGCTTGCCAGGAATCATTGAAATGCCGCCCTGAAAGTGAAGCATATATGATCAATCTGGCTGCTGCATACTGTATGGCCGGAAACAATTTGGAAGGTGCTCGTTGGTACCGTCGTGCATTGGCCATGCCAAATCCACAATTTGATGTCGCTCATCAAACCCGAAATCTCATGGTGGCACAGCTCCAATGCCCTGGCATGCCACTGGAAGATCATCACGTTTGCCATGGATCTCCCTCACACGTGACTTCAATTCTCAAGAAGGACAAAGAGAAATGGCTCTTGCAAAACAAACTACTTTCAGAAGGGCGAAACATCCAAGGTATGACAAGTACAATGATCGTCAATTCAGAAGAGGGGGGCGCCCTCATTCAGCATCCAATGCCATCTGGTCCGGACGATCCAGAGGTCTTCCCTGAAGAATTCTTGAAGGAGATCCGTCCTTGATCAAATACCAGAAGGAAATTTATTTCGATCAGGATGGGCTCGAGAAGCATAGCAACGGGGGCTGGTGGCAACTGTGTTTGCCTTGCTGGACAATTCATGTTAGAAAGTGCATAGAATTAAAGGGCATCTTCGGGTACAATGCTCAACTTTATTAATGATCCGTTGTTCTGTGTTTGTGACAACTTCTCTCACTGCCAGCCACTGGTCAATCAATCAACACTAGTAGAGGCATTGTAGCGTCTGTGCCGGCCATCCATACCGGTACCCATTGAAACTAGCTAGTAGCGTCCCAGGCTTGGCCTACCCAAATTCTTGCCACAACGAACCTGGATTTCCGCCTGATGACTCGAATCCTCCTCATGCATGGTTATGTCGAAGCGAAGAAGCCAATGGTATAGAGCCACGCTCCAACTATGCTTCCGTTCAACTGTAGAAGAAGAAAAAGATCCCACAGAGCTCGAGTTTCTTTATTCTACATGCGAGCTTGGACCATGTTGGTAGCTACGACGAACTCGGTTCCACTCAAACCCACGACATCGCGCACCTGCGATGAACCATGGTCCTCTCAAAACGCTTCCTGTCGTGAACCCGTCATTGGCTGTGCTTGGCGATAGTTCAGTCCCCGCACGTATCTTCCACGTCTCACCTGCATTTTTTCGGCGTTTCCCCCTCGTACCGGTACCAGTACCACCACAAAAACAAAAGACCAACAACCACAACACCACGAAGAAGAAATTCATTCAGTTCGATCCCAGCATGAACGTATTCAATAGCAGCAGTCATCCACCAACCTGGTTTCTTGTTGGGGGAATGATTGTGGCTGCGACGAATGCTGTCGGCGCCGCATCCCTGCGTGGTGTCGATCCCCGCATCGTTAACGGGAATCCTGCATCCTCGCCGTATCCATCCTTCGGTTTCTTCGAAGTTGGGTGCGGTTCCAGTATTGTTGCGCCAGACATGGTGCTTACGGCTGCTCAGTGAGTTTTAGGTATAATCGTATCAACCAAACGACACCAATGCAAATGCACCAAATGGCTAATCGCGTCCTCCGCGTGTTTTTCAGCTGCGACCACTCTGATGTTTTATATCGCCGGCTGTGGTTTGGTTCCACAGAGCTGCGAGAAGGGAAAGTCCGGACTGCGGTTGAGAGATTCGTCCATCCCAACTATCACGACAGCAAACTTGGTGGGTCGGGGGCCTACGATTTTATGCTCCTGAAGCTGAACGCTTCCATTTTGGTGCAGAATGACGGTGTAACTCCCACGAATTTGGAGCCAATAGTGCTGAATGATAATCCCTCCAATCCTGCCCCGAATGATCAGGTGCTTGCGATCGGCCATGGGCGAAATCACCGCGACGCGCTCGCCTTGGAGGAAAACCTTCTCGAGCTGACACTCTTCACTTACGATAACCTCGTTTGCCAGGACATCTACGACCAGCTTGCCTCTACATCCACCCTGATGGTTGTTCCAGAATCTATGGTATGTACTATCCCAGCTGGACCGCTTCCATTTAGTTCATCTCTGAACTCCTGCCCTGCGTACGCTGTAACTGTAGTTCTGTGCTGGACAAGGACCTCAAGGTTTCGGTGGTAAGGGTCGAGACTGGTGCTGTTGTTGGGGGAGCGACTGTTCTTCAAAGCGTCTCACCAAGCAAATATTCCTTGTTGCACAGGTACTTGCAACGGAGATTCGGGGGGTCCTGTGGTGGATGCTTCAGGTGTGCAAGTGGGCGTGGTCAGTTGGGGTGCTTCATGCACTCATGGGTACCCCAGTGTGTTTGGGCGTGTCAGCTCTGCCCATGACTGGATGATTGCAACAATTTGTGAGAATACTTGTTTTCCTGACCCAGTTCTGTGTTCAGACATAGCCAACTTGCACCCATGTGCTTCCAAGCTGGACACAAGCACACTGCCCACTGGCAATGTAAACTTCACCTTGTCAATTGTTTCCGACATGTACCCTGATGAAATCGGATTCTTGTTGGAACATGTTGACCTGGGCATGGAGGTCTTTTTCCAGCCTTATGAGACCTATTCCTATTCTGATGTGGCTGGGCTTCGCTCTGGGGAAGAGTTTATTATTCGGCACCGATGGAAAAACCTTCCAGGGGGCACCTACCACCTCATCTTGGGAGACAACGACCATGATGGCATTTGCTATGGCTATTCAAATTGTCTGAACCAAGAAAACGTCATGTTGAGTTCCGAATCAGGCGAGACCATCTGGTCTCACAATGGCCGATACTTTAGTGGGACCGACATTTATGTGAGGTTTGATGCAGACGGCAATGTTCTCTGGGTCTCTGAGTATGAACTTGGCTCTTCTGAACCAACACCATCACCCACCATAGCTCCAGCAATACCGGAAGACACAGGCTATCCAGGGGAGTTTCCTGATGACCCATTCGAGGTGACGCTCAATGTGTACTATGACAGCTGGTTACCAGAGACTTGGTGGACGTTCCAGAAGTTAGACATGGATATTGGTCTTCCATGGTCCAGCATTGATCGGGCTGGCGTTGAGTGGATGACAGAACGGCAGAATGCAACCGAGACATGGACAACCATTTCAATGGGACCAGAAGGGTTGGAAGTCCCCGGTTCACTGAACAGCTACACACAGCCTGGGCTGGAGCCGGGATCGGTGTATCGTTTTGAGTTTCATGATTCCTTTGGGTGAGTGCAGCCAGCGCGAGTATTTTGACTTTTGTGTTTCGAAGGACGCCTGCTCATTGGTCAGCAAATGTACTATTGCTTATTGAAGGGACGGAATATACACCTGGGGAGCAACAATCACCAATTCGTCTGCCTCTCTTGACTATTCCGATGGCACTGTGCTCTGGGCGCTACCACATGACTTTTCTGCATATTCTAAAGCTCATATTTGGGTTGATAGCGATGGGAACGCACAAGCCATCGACTACATCAAGGTTCCGGTGGCTTCCAGCTATATAGCAGATTCATGTGATCAGACGAGTTTGGCAAGCCAAGAAGGTCGGTACATGTGTGAAGATGTCTGCGCCAGGGGGAGGTGCTGCTGGGACACAACCGCAGGGGCACGCTGTAACGAATACCAACCGACTTGCTGGGGTTACGCTTTGTGCGGCAATCTTCTTTAAAAGGCCAGATTTCACAGCAGACACTCTGCCGACGTGCTCCCCGTTTGAGTTGGTCGCTTGGGCGTCTTGTCTAAAACACGAGGGCCATTCCATCGGGTTTGCCGCGCACCGGACACTGTGGTGGTGGGAGTTGTCGTCCTCCTACGCGAAAGGAGTACAGGTGTACCTCCGGTAGCTCTAGCCCTAATGAAGGTACACGTAGCCAAACTATGAAAAGGTGTGAACTTGAACGCACAATTTCTCTAATTTAATCAATATCCTTCCAGCTCTACTGTCTAGTAGACTGGCTATTTGTTTCGTTTTCTCTTTCTCTCTCGTTCAGATTGTGAGCT